TTCAGACCCTTTAGGAGCACGCTGGATTGGAAACACAGTTTTCTAAGAAATATGGAGAACAATAGTTCTCGAAAGGTCTGATGGCAAGTAACAGGATCAGACATCATACGTACACGGCACACTTCATTACACAATAGCTCTATACAGAAATCAAACTTAACGGGGAGTGAGACCTCCATTAAGAGATATGGAAAACTACAGTCTTAAAATAGACTACAAAAATAAATGCTGAAAAAGGTTATTAAATTGGAGGGTACCTTGAATATTGAAAGGTGAAAAACTGAAACAACAGCCTGGGTAATTAGAGGTTGTACAATTTCATAGTATTCCTACCACAAAATGACTAACGTCCCATGTGAGATGAAGACTTCATTCCTCCTCACTATGGAGCCATCCTGAAGTGACAGTTTGTAAAAAGAAAATTAGTTTCTTTTGGGCCCAGTGACAACACTAAGATGTTTTTGGTATGGCACTAAGAGGAGTTGAATATTGCTGAAGAACAGAAGTACTCCCACATCCACAATGAACAATACTAGAAATCCTGCCCCTCTCGAAAGGCACTATTTGAACGAGGGAGGACGAAAAACCTATGTATTATTTCTAGTTTAAATTATTGCCTATTAAATGGAAGTTGTTATTTGAAATGTCCTAGTGGATTTGGGTTAAACTGGAGGGAATACGTGTTGCTGTAGGAGTATGGCTATAACATGACATACCCTGTTGTGTCACAAGCATTTTACTTCATTAACAAAGTTGAAGGAAAAGCAAACAAACAGACAGAACACGTGAAAATTATAAATCATAGAGATTTGGAGGTTTGTCAACACTACTTGGGACAGAGAAATGGAAGGATACAGACATTAAAATAGTCTGTAGAAATAAAATGGAATTTGAAGAAAAATTCACACTAAATTCTAAGGAGAAACCTGGGAAACAGCAATAGTGAAAGATACCTTAGGGAACTGGGAAAAGCCAGGTGATAGAAAATTTGCAGTTGACAATGATTATAAAAATGCTGCTGCAATTTTGAATTGAACATAAAAAGACTTTATATCACAGCAGAATAGAGAATTTCTTCTCTCCAGACATGGCTTTTGTGTGGCTAGGTTTGGAGTATTTTCTTCACCTTCAGCACGCTTTTTTCAGAAAAATGCTGACAAATAGGAGGGAGTTCCAGAGAACAACGATTTCTTTTCATGGACTGGAGAACGTCGATGAAAGAATAAACAAATATGCACATATTGTCAGATTAAATGAAAACAAGTACGTGTCTAAATAAATTTAAAACCAGTCTATAAATGTTGAAGAATATAATCAGCAAGAACCAAAAGAGCATTCATAATTTTTCCAGAGCATTGGAAAAGGAGGAAGACTGTAAGGAAACATCTGTCTGGTTTTACACGATGGAAAAGAGCTCTTCTCTGCTTCTTCTAAAGCCTTATCTTAAAATTTCAGGGCTGACAATTATCTGCAGCATGGCTGAACTAGCTGTGAATACACAGTGACACAGCTCAAGGCTTTGTTGGGAGGCAAACAAGACTTGCAAGCCACACTAGAGACGAAGGATAAGAAAAGAGCTAGAAGACTCTGTTGGGGCAGACAAGTGAATTTTTTGGATGTACAATTTTGCAAAAGAATAAATGTAAAAATAGAGAAGACAGAAGATAGAAAACTGTGCAGAGCACCTGTATACATGACATTTTTCCTTTCTCCCTTGCACTGACCAACAGCAATAAAGAAAATACTTTTCTATACCAAAGGATACCTAGTGATAGATAAAAACGCTGTGACATTATTCTTTGGCCATATGTAAAGCCCTGATCTCTGCCCAGCAACAAACACTTTTTAAATCAACCAGCTGACTGTATGAGCATTTCCAGTATGGATTTAAGCACTACCCCCATAAATTACAGGCAAAATAAGATAGAAAAAAAAAAAGTGTTTGTATCTACAAAATTAAGCCTACTCTTTGGCTTTAGTCCAAATACGAACTACCATCAACTGCCGTAATAGATGAAGAAGTGCAGCATTCACTAATAACATCTACAAAACAGTTTCCTTCAAATTCAGCCATCCATTGGGTGAATTTTGGGTTTTAAATATCCACATGCATTTCATCACTTCTAGTAACACAGATAAGAAGGCGAAGGATATTCACGCTGCTTAATTCAATTGACCCTCACCCCTCAAAATGTGAATTATAGTAACTAATTCAAAAGCTTCTCCCCACCCACTGACTAGACTGAGGCTATAAATTTAGGGACCAGAGATAGGTAAGGAAAATCAGATATTGTGAATACCCGCAAAATAATCTATTCCATTATAAGAAAAAAAGTCATTACACATCATTGAAACAACTGCAATAACCGGGTATGATTCCAATATAGTCTTCAAAAGGCAAAGTGAGTGGGGAAACTGAGTAATTTTTTCTGAAACTTAATCATAAATTTCTGAAGTTTCAAGAAGTTATTTTTAATAGACACATTATGCTAGGCACTTAATTTCAATTTAATCAATAATTACAAAATTCAATTAACATTAATTCTTGGGACTGTAAATACTCTCAGGAACTAACTTTATCTTGTACAGTATAATAGCAATTATGTATCTATGCTCAGAAAAGAAAGCAGAAAAATGTGTTTTCTAATCAAAAGTACAGGAGGATTAAGGAGAAGCAGGACTGAATCATTCCACCTGAAATATGACCTGAGGGACTACTCTCCCTACTCTCAGGAAAAATGCTAAAATGTCTTCCAGTATCAGATTCAATTATTACCAGTTTTAAAATCATGTCTTAAAGATGACAACTCAATAGCATAATGTCATGATCACATCATTTCATTACCAGTTCAGTAATGAGAGGAGAGCATGCTGGACAAACACCATACATGGAAGAGATTAAAACCATTTCCTATATCAATGCAAGTTTTCCTGAAGGCTTGCTATTGCACATTTCATGTTGACATAATGAATTTTCCATTTTGAATTGGCTCTCTCATTGACCCAAAAGACATAAAATATGGGGCCAAAGCTTATGCTTCTTCATACATTTTTGTTATGACACATACTGGCAAAATAATTTTCTTCCCTTAAAAACATTTGTTTGAATGAATGATCTAATAAACCCTAGCATAAGAACAAACCTTATCATTGCCACTTTGTAATAAAAACTGGGATTCAATCTCTCCACTGTGATTTAAGTTTAGTCTTGTAAGTTCATCCAACTTAAATGAGTGAAAAGTGAGTAAATACTGTCCTCTATAAATTCTTTTTAAGCATGGGAATAATTCGACAGTCAGAACACTTAATTCTGTTATAACCTACCGAAGTCTTGCATACCTATTATGTTTAGAAACAAGGCATTTTTTCCTTCAGTACAAGTTATTAATGATTTTTATATCAATGTGTTTTTATTATATAGTCTAAAGACACTTCAACAACTCAGATAATTTTTAAAATGGCTCACTGTAACATCCAAACTAGTAAAATAAATCATCACCAACTGTCTTAAATGATTAGTTTGAGTAACAGCAATGAAGCAATGTAAGGAAAATACTAGGTGTTTATGTGCAGAGTTCTCATTTGTTTATTTCTTGTCCCAAATGCTGCTTGAGAATCTGTGGCTAATTTTTGGCACTGACTGCGATGCTTCCTCTGGCACTACCGCCTAGGCTTGACCTGCATAAAGGTAACAAATCAGGAAAACTGAAGCAGAAATTCAGCCCTCCTTTTATCCAGTGCTGGGAATAAAACCTTCAAAACCATTAAGTAAGGTTGCAAGTAAGAGACCAATTCAGCCAACACTTTTCACTTTTGCATTGCTTTAGCACAGTGAATCATCTGCAAATTCAGTTTCACTAGCTAGCACACTGTGGTCATCTTATACTATTCCCATTTTCTGATACACAGACCCTTAGGTTTCTAGTATAAATCTAAAAACATCAGAGGTAATGTACAGGAGGATTTTCTTTACATGTTTGTTTAGTTACATAAATGTTATACAATATATTAAAAAATATTTTTAGATTCCTAATGGGAAAAAAGTTAAACTGCAGCCATGGTTGACAGAACACATTTGTAAGTAAAAAGCATTGTAGGCATGTTATAATGAACTCAAATCAACTATAAGTTGAAAGTCTAAGCAATTGAAAACTTGTATGAGTACTTAAGAGAAATCTAAATATGTTAAATTATGGAAATAAACACTTCAGGCACTCAATCTTAATTCTGCCCTTTAGTGAACATAAGCAAACCAAAAAAAGTATGTGATTTTAAAAGTTCATATTAATCTAATTTGGAACCATAAATACCAAAATAATTCAACAGCAATCACACGGTCATTTCATATTACAACTCATGGCCATGAGGTTAAGTTTCCTTTTTTTTTCCCTTACCTTAGCTCCTTCTAAGTGGAATGTAACCAGATTTCCTGTGCAACATTTACTGGTGCAGGTTACCTCCATCTCTGTGCCTGTTTAGCTTTTTTTGACAATGTGGTGTCAAGCAAAGCAATAGCAGCTTTGCACAGAATTTTTTCCCCCTACTATCTGCCTCTCACACTCTAACCTATAATGCAGTAGTTACCAATGCAGTAGCCTGCAAGGGAGAATTAAGTGATCTCTCTTATCCCACTTTTCCTTGCGCAGGACACAACAAAAGCCACACAAGTTTTTGCTTAGCAATGTTGTACTGCAGTGCTTGCGAAAATTATGCCAAAAAGCCATTAGCATTTCGTTTTGTAAGGGGACTGGAAATCCATTATACTATGCCACATTTTAGTTTGAAAATCGTTTTGGGTCAGAACCCAAGGTCAGAGTAATTCTCTTGCGCTATATTCCCTATTGCTTTTTCTGCTTCGAAGTTGTGCATCACTTGGCCTGTCCAGAGCTACTGCAAAGTGAAGTTACAGAGGAAATTTCAAAAAAATATCACCCCCCTCCCCCAGACTCATGCATTTCTACACCAAAGGGCAGATTTTTCTTATTCCAGGACTATCTCACCTCTGGAGTGACATCTCGTGGTGCAAACCCTGTTCCTCCAGTTGTTAAAATCAAATTAAGTTCCTTTTCATCACACCAATCTATCAGCGTCTCCTGAAAGAGAACATGAATCCTGTCAGATCTAACAAGTAACATGTGGGATACAGTTATCTCAGAAAACACCTGAAGACTTGAAATGTCTTAAAAACAGACACACACAATAAATATACGGAATTGTAAAATCACTCATGGCTTTTCATATAAAGATTTTAAACCACTATTTATAACCAACATATGACAGAATAATTCAAGTACCCATCATAATATTTTTGGAAATGGAAATTGAAATTTTGTTCTCCATCTCTTGAACGGAAAACAAGAATTGACAGTTATTCATTTATATCACTATTTATTTTGATTTTGAAATACAAATATAATGCTTTGACACCTGTTCATAGAGCATGTGTATTTAATTGAGATTATATGGTTGATTCTATTTACAGTAACTTTGGTTTCTGTGCTCCACTTTTTAACAGCCTGGAAAAAGCAAGAACCACATATTTGTAAGCTTATCTACTAAAAGATGCAATGATACACCTGATGCAACAACACAAAACATTATCTATAATCATCTTTTCTACATTCCCTACAACATCTCAGTAGGACTGTGTATACCAATTCCAAGGCTGGACTAAGAAAGCTTAATAAATCTGTCATGTATATTCAATGATTCACAATACTGGAGAACTCGTGATACCAGAGAAGTGTTTAATTTGATTTGCATTCATTTTTTAAATGACATTTTAAACTAGTTTTCAAATAGTGATGAAAATATGACATAAGCAGAAAATTTATTTAGTCTCAATTGATTATATCACTTATCCTTCATACTCTACAGTAGGCTTGCACAGCAGCAGAATGTCTGCTTGGAGCTCAAAATTAGCTGTGGTACATGAAGCACAGTCATGTATTACACAGTAAAGTATCCACCTGCAGAAATCAGTCAGATCAATTACTTAGACAGCTATCGTTATTCTAGCAAAGAAACCTCATTCTTTGAAAAAGTTTAGGGCACATTTATCTTTCTGGACTATTATACTGGGGAGGAATGAACTGTTTTGGTGACCGGTGGCTAGAAGCATATTATTGATCATAAAATCAAATCGGAGCAATATACTGATTAAAAAAGCTTAAAATATTGTTGATGGTCATAGAACTGCCCAGAACATTTTAAAAAGTACTACCAATTTAGATTAATCCTCAGGTGTATATTCTGCAGGTTTAACACTGCTATGTAACTTCCACTTAAGAGAAAGCTCATATACAGCCTCTTCCAAATCGTAGATAGAATAAACTTGTGTCTGCCTGCAAGCCCCATCGTGCAAATGTATCCAAGGATTACTTGAAGAAGTGGCAAAGCCAAAGGTTCTGTCTTTATTTCTCCTTTCTTTACTCATTCCTTCCACTTCCCTGTTTGCATTATCTCTTCTCTTTATCAAAACCACATTCATCTTCTTACGGCACTCTACTTAGGTGGGCTGTAACTTGCCAGAAGTTTCTGGTTATATGAACATTTCAAATAAGCTTGAGAAAAGAACACACATAATGTCTCAGACCCGTACATAAATGAACTATTTAAATGAATTACGGTAGTAAAAAGCGTTTTAAGCCTTAAAATTGTATGTTTCAATAACATAGATATGCACCAGAAAAATTATTTTAAAGAGGTGGCATCTTCTCTGTTTTATCATCTAGAAACATTTATGTCTTGACTTTGAACAGCTACAAATTTCAGAGAATACTTGAGAGAAGTTCAGTGTAAAAATGGTGTTTGGCAAAGTTAGAGCTTAATATTGTATATATTTTAAAAATTATCACGAAAAATTTGTCAGTATAAAACAGGAGGGAGAGATTTTGTGGGTTTTTTTTAATGAAGCATTTATCTTCAGATAAAATAAAACCTGCCAAACTCCAACTGGCTTTATAGAGAAAATAAATCCCCTTCCTCTGTTCTGATTTTGCTACAGTTCAATAATACTCCAGTTAACAGGGAAAAAAAAGTCATCTGATAGCCTACAAAAAGCTAAAGAAATCAGTATACACCCTAACTCTTCAAATAAACTGAGCAATAATTAAATGCCTACTACTGCTATTCCATCAGTGTACTTAGGCAGACATATAATTCTCTATCAAGTTCTAGTTATAGTAAAGAAACATAAGATTTCAGTAAGACAACCTTTGACTATGAGACAGTAAGTTTGGGTTTCATTGTATTTCAGAAGTGTAAATTGTACCACTTAGATCTTTTAAAACTATGGAAAAATACCTGAGACTGATACTCAGCTTATTTACTTTCTCTCTATCCCACAAAACTCTATCCCACAAAACATTCTCATTGACATTTTAAGTATCTAAAAAAGGAAGCACCACCCCCATCAATTGAGGACAAAAGGCTACTCATATTCACTTTGCTGCTGCCAGCAGTCCAGCTAGATTCTCCACTGGCTTTGCATGGAACTGAATTTGCTGTGTCTTCAACTGAGAATTCCTCTAGGCCAGGGACCTGATATTTGGCATTACTGATGCTATACAAACAAAATTATTATATAACATTTCAATCAGAGAAAATTTCATTAAATAATTTTTGTGCATCTTTCTCCTTTTCTATTGTTTCATCGATGATAAGCTTTCAAGATAAATGAGACTAAGTCAACAGGTTCTGCAAATCACTGTCACTCCATTCAAGTCAATGGAATTATGCTGATGGATACAAAATACAGTATCTGGCTCTGAAAACAGTACTGTAAAATTACTACCAAATTTTAAAAAGCCAGAACAAAACTACAGACCTCCAGAAAAAAAACAACCAATAGCTTAATATTTTTAACAATTAATATCCTAAAATAGGCTTTATCAGTTATTTTCTAGTGTCAAGGTAGACAAGGAGAAATGTAGTCATTACAGTCAGTTCCTCTAGACACATTTTTATTTCAAAAGCACACAACTGTGATTCTAACCTGTTCAGATTTCACTGAAGTCCCAGAATAATTATATTAATTATGTTTTTCTGCTGCACAGAAATAAAATGTCAGCCCAGTTGCCTCCTTAAGCTTTGGACTGGATCTGGTGCCCTGTCCTCTCTACCTATTTCTTTGTATTTTCTCTTTCAAATACATTTAAATTCCTCTCATTTAAATAAGTAAGAAATCCTTGGGTCTAACATACAATTTATTTCTATCTACCTCTTGCTCCAAAGAGCTCTTGTTTCAATCAGCCCCCTCTCTCTCCCAACTTGGAACTACTTGTTGGACTTCCTATGCACTGCCCAATCTTGAAATTATTTCAGTTACAACGCTGCTCATCAAAAACTTTGCTTATGATCTGTTTGAATTTTCTCATGACCAGTGTTGATTTCACCAATGCAGAAAAATCTTGCCTCATTCTTTCTCCGAGTTCTTCGTCTTTCACATGTAAATTTATTGATTTTAAGGCCAATAAAGATCATTTACTCATGGAAAGAATGCCTACAGTGTGTGGCACAGTGCAGAGACCCTATGTTTACCACAGATACATGCTTGCAAATCCATACAGGCATCATCACATTAAGACACACTAAGTCCAAAAGCTGTACAGATGTATTCTTGTGGCACCACACCTAAGCTGACATTTCAGTCAGTGAATGGCTATAACACTTACAGACGTATTTCCTTCTGTGGAGGTAACTTAAGCATCTCAATGTCCAAGATGCGAAAGTGCCATTAGTCTATGTTGCAATGGGCAAGTCACAGAATTTTGGTCAGTTCCTCCTGTATTTAAAACAAATTCTAGGACTCAAGCATCTCTTCACTAAACCACCCAGCCTTGATCTGAAGGATTCAAGAGAGAGAAAATATATCATAATTTAATTTGGTAGGGTTTTCCAGCAGCTATTCACGTTTATCATTATGTATTTGTTGTGTTTCTAGTAACTGTTTCTTACTAATAATTTCTGTGGGATAACGCCCCCGCCATGATACGTAAGAAACATGTGCATTCTGCTCACAGAATGCACAACGGTCATGGTTAGCAAAGTGCGGTATTTTGTAACTCCATTAATGTACCATCCCCTAATCTCTGCAAGTAAGTGAACAGGAGAAACAAATAGGGATTCCTTTCTGGAGTTAAAGGAACAGTTCCCTGATTGTTGGAGATAACTGAGGTTTGTGGGTTACTTATCTTAGTAAATTTTTGCAGTCTCTTGCAATAAAGCCTTATTACAATCATGGGCACTCTACGTTTCTCTCCTTGATTGCTACTTCACTTAAATAATGGAGTACAGCAGTTCTACATGTGTAATTAATTACTTCCTTTTCAGAGAGACAGAGGCATCCATTCATTGACACAGTATTATAAAATATGCTGTTAGCCAGGAATTTAAACGTGAGAAAAGTTGCAAGACTCCTCCAGTCCTCTTACTGGTACTGTACACTGCTCTTCCCCATAGGTACTGAGACTATGAGTAATACCCTTATCTGGAGCAGAAGTACTACAAAGCACACAAAAATGGTCACCATGGATCAGAATAAATGCCTACACAGAAGAGCTGAGGTCTTGAGGACTGTTCCTTTCCTATGATGCTACAGTCATATGGTATTTCTTGTCTTTCTTTTTGTCATATTTTTGCTGTCACTTTGCTATGAGAGTGTGATAACAGTCCAACGTGTTTATGCTTTCAAAATGATTAGAATACATTCCTGCAAATCAATATTATGGTGCTTATTCCTGGGATTAACATGTACACCTTTTTTTTATCAATGTCATTTACTTCATAATACAAGGATTGTAAAAATAATTCTCAATACATACGCATACTTTTCATACACCTTAACCACTGGAATATGACATGCACACTGTTACCATTTTAAACATTTATTAGGAAAGAATAGGAAAATGCTAAAAATAATATAAACAGGCAGGTTTTCATAAAGAATCCATACAGAATTCTTCCATTATATATTCAGTATTGAAACTGGTTATGTAATTTTATAGTTAACAAAGATGTTTGGTATTTTGGCACACACTAAATTTTTCTAGCACAGTGCAAACGAAGTTATTTCGCCTTATATGCACCACTA